ACTACTACTAGTGCTACTGCTACTACTACTACTACTACTACTACTACTACTACCACCACCACCACCACCACCACCACCACCACCACCACCACCACCACCACCACCACCACCACCACCACCACGCCGACAACTATTACTTCTACTTCCATTCCTGCTGCCGCTGGTGGGGTCTTTGTTCTTGTTGTTGACACTTGACACTACCGGTATGCTTTATTTTCGTCTCATAACAGTTTTTTGTTGCTGTTGTGGTGGTGATGGTCGTACTGTTTGTTGCTGTTATGCTTCTCCTGGCTCATCGCCTTGTGCTTTCCCCCATTCCCGGGCTTCTGCTGCAGAGATTTCAGCCCCTAAACCCTAAATCCTAAACCCAAAACCCAAAGGCCAAAGGCCTGATCCTGCAACTGCCGTGGCACAGAAGCTCAGGATGTCGCCGAACTCAGCCTCGTGTGCGCCGCGCATGAGGAGCTACCCACGCAGCCACGCCGCTTTGGGACCGTTCACCCCAAACCCAGCTCCGGTTTCGGGTTCGAGTTGAATGCTCGAAGTGCCGTTGGTGTAAAGGTTTCGGTTACGAAGTCCAGGGTGCGGTGCATCCCCCTTGTTTTCTTTTTGGGCGTTAAGCATTGTCCTTGATCCTTGCGTCCTGCATCTTTAGATGTCGGCTGCGGTTCTGTCTGACTTCACTATTAGTGCCTCTCGTATGTATGTTGTTTGTATGAGTAGTATTGATCTGTTTTGATTGTGTTTCTTATGTTCACATTGATAGCCGACATTCTGACTAGGGCTAGCGGCTACTCGTATGTTAACATTGAGTAGCATTGGTGTGTTTTGGCCGCGATTCTGATCTTCATAATCATGGTCTTGATGATGACCACTCACTCTGTCATCGATGTTTCCTCCGCGTTCTCTCAACTACCGCTGTGATCGACCCATTTTCACTGTTATAGTACACCGAATTGGAGCCCTGTGGGAGTGTATCGTCGTCATGACTTAGTCTTGGTTCTTCACGACGGCCAGCGATATTCCCCTAAACCCTAAACCCTAAACCCTAGTCATCATCGTCATTACGGTTTTTTACGCTTCCATCCGCAGCTTTGCTATGAATTTTCAGCTCCCTTCTTAGGGCTCTTGGGTCATCTGGCTTGAGGTGTATGGGTTTTTGGGTTGAGGGGTTTAGGGTTTAGGGTTTAGGGGGGTTTAGGGATTTATGGTTTCGGCTTTCGGGAATAGGCTCTCAAAACCTCAACGCACTCCATCCCAAACCCCATGCAGCACACCTCACTGTCGTCGCTCTTCTTGCTTTGGGCTCCAGTGCAAAGTTGTGGATAGATCCATTCAGAACCAACGCTCGACGCAGAGGCCTACCGGCCCGACCCGGGGTGTGCGAATGGCGAGAGGTACAACTCAGGATCTAGGGTTTAAGGTCCAGGGACGGGCTTGGGAGAAGACAATGATGATGATGATGATTCTGGTTTAGGGTTTAGGGTTTAGGGTTTAGGGTTTAGGGTTTAGTATAGGGTCACGATGGAGGACCAGGGGGACCAGGAAAAGTCTTGGACACCCTAAACACGAAGCCCTAAAACCCTGATGGTACCTATCTGCAGGTCTGGGAGTCGCTGAAACTCTTCCACAGGGTGCTCTCGTTGTTTTCAGAATTCATCGCAAAGCACGCTCGTTGAATGCTGTATTATAACAGCTGGTATCATACTTATCCCAGACCCTGGCCCTGAAGCCACATAGCCCTAAAACCTGAGCCCTAAACCCTAACGCCCCCCCCCCCCAAAAAAAAAAAGAGAACCTAAACCCTAAACCCTGCTGGAGGCTTCCGCCCACCCCCACGCGATGACGGCGCCGCTGCTTCATTACTTCCGGGTGGTCGAGCTGGCAACACTTTGGGGCCAAGGGTTCGTGCTCTTTATTTATTGTTGCTTCGAGGTTTCAGGCTTAAGGTGGTATAGTAAAACGTAGTAACCTTATAGCCACCTTACAGTAACCCTTACAGTAACCCTTACAGAAACCCTTACAGTAATCCTTACATTAACCCTTACAGTGACTCTATAGTTACCCCACGTTTGATGGGCCTTGGTTTGCAAAGGCTGCTTGGCCACCCTAAACCCTGAAACCCAGAACCCAAAACCCTGAATCCAAAATCCTTAAACCCTAGAATTTCTAAAACCAAAGTCCTAAACCCTAAACCCTAAGCCCTGAAACCCTATGGTTGGGCCTTGGCTGATGAATTCGTAATGCTGTTCCGGAGGGTCTGATTTTCTCATTATGGTACAATGTACCCAAACCCTTATGCTAGCTATGAAGGGCCTATAGTATCTTGTCTCTTGACGTCTCGAAAACCCTAAACCCTAAACCCTAAACCCTAAACCCTAAACCCCCCTCACAATGACCACAGGCTCGAAGCTTTCCCTTCCGATAAGGGTGCCCTTGTCGGGAGCTTCATTGTAAATCCAGGAGCGGTAAGCCCCTGACGCCCAAAGAGGGCCTCACGACTGAACCCCTGAAGTCCGTCTAAACCCTCGAAGCTTCAAAATCCCCCCTAAACTCTACCCTAAACCCTAAACCCTAAACCCTAAACCCTAAACCCTCAACCCTAAACCCTAAACCCTGAACCCTGAACCGTACCGGAACCCCAATCCCCGAAAGCCAATGCCCGCAAAAACCCTTGCAAGATACCCTGGAGATCCTTCCTGAACCTTTGCGCGCCAATGTGGTATCCTTAAACCATTTAAAACCGGGATACCTTAAAGCCGAAACCAAAACTAAACCGTAAACCTGAGCTGTAAGCCCCGCCTAAACCCGAAAGCATAAACATCGAACGGTAACTAAACCCTAGAGCCTCAACCCTAAACCCGTACTAAACCCGAACCCCCAAACCTTTAACCGCAAACCCAAACCCGGAAGAGCAATCCTTGTAATCACAGATACCCTTAGCAACCCTTACAGTAGCCTCTTGAACAAACATGTTGCCAGGCCGATCTTCATCTGAGCCCGGCTCTTCAGAAAAAGGCGGCCGCGATGTAGTGTTCGGATTTTTCAAGGTTTACGGCACATGGTTTAGGCTCTGGGAGCTTGGGGGGACAATTTAGGCTATTTTGGAGTTCAGGGTTCAGGTGTTAGAGTCAAGCTTAGAGTTTGGAGTTAGGGCTCAGCGTCTGGGGTTTGAGGTTTGGTGTGTAGTGTGTCGTTTAGACAGGGTTTGGTGTTAGAGTAGTAGGGTTTGGGGTTTGATGTTTCGTATGCCGGTTTGGATTTAGGGTTTAGGGTTCAGGATATTGCTGTTCAGCAAGCCTTTTGGTTTAGGTTTGCGTGAGGCTTTGGGGTTTCAGTGGGTTCGGTCCATGCTGTGGTTCTTGATGTGGGTTTCTGCTCGCCTCGTCCGACCGCTTCCGTAGCACCGAACATCCGTGCAAGGGCGAGCTTCATGCAATCGACAAACTCAACGTCGTCGAATGTCTAAGCCCTGAACCCCGAACCGCCTGACCATGCGGTATACTGGATTCTGACTGAACCTGAACCCTGTACCCGGAAGGAATGTTGCCCCAAGCTCTGAACCACAACCTTGAACACTAATGTAGGGGCCTAAATAACTACCAATACTATTCTTGGGGGTTCTTTACCATACTTATAGTAGAATGGGCCCCAAAACCCTGTTCTAATTATTAAGGCCCCTATATTACAGGCGGAAACTCAACTTTCTGCTCAGGCGGCCGATGCGGGATTCACCATGGTCGGCAGTGACTTTGCTGGAGGGCAGTCCTTCTTCTAGGAGAGACCGACGGCGGCACATGATATAAGGGGCCTTATCAAGCATAACGGGGATTAGGGTTTAGGGTTTAGGGTTTAGGGTGTGTTCTACTTTTATCATAATGAGGAATCCCAGGGAACGGCATTACTAAGTTTAAAAGCTTCTGTATTCAAGTCAAATCGCTCAAACGCTACACCTAAGCTGGGATGTTGCCTTCTAAACTTCACGTTCGCGTGCTGTTTTGCTCTCCGGTTTTGTTTGCATGACAGATGATTGGATCCTAAAGCTCCAAAACTTGCACCTGTATGAGTCATTGCTACGGTTCGACATGAAGCGACTTTAGACTCTAGGCTATGCGAAGGGTTCTCTAGACGAATCGAAAAGCAACGGAGTCCCGGCCATCTATAAGGGGGTTTAGGTTGAAAGGGTTGCGTTTTTTCGTGTGGAGCCCAGGCGAGATCTGTTTCAACATCCAGGCACACAGGGGAGAGTGTTCGGAGTGTTGGAGGGTCGCTCGTGATGTGTCATAAGAGTCAGGGTTGAGGGCTCAGGGTTTAGGGGTTTAGGTTTAGGATTTCGGGGTTTAGGGTTTACGTTTCAGGTTTTATGATTGCACCAGCACGGAATTTTCTTGCGTCGCGCTGCATCCTGCAACGCCCACAGATGGAAAAAACCGGTGCAGACGCTCTAGATTCCGAGCCTCTGCTTCGGTTTTCGGGCGATGTGCCAAGACCTACCAGGTGCGCTGCCGAGTTGCAGCTCGGGCGCAAACATTGTATCGGTTGCTTCCCTGTTGACTGTTGAGGCGTGCGGATGACTTGGTACGATTCGCATGCAAGCAAAGCGCTGGAAATCGGGAGGACTTACATCGCTTTGCGAGCGGTGGTCAAGGTGGAGAACGAGGTAACTATCGTGTGTTGGGGGTCCACGAGCGCGATCCTGGACGCTCCCGATGACCTGCAATTGAACGTCAGCTCCGAAGGAAGCATGCGGTGATCGTACAATCGCCTTGTTTGAATGTACAAATGATTTCTGCACCGTTGCCAGTAGGAATCAGGGCCGGCGATGCCAGAGTCCATTACACAGAGGCTACTTGCAGCGCAAAACTTTTGATGTGCAGATGGTTGCTTGCATGGCCCCAAACACCCTGACACTTAACTCCAGGAGCCCGAAACCCTTAACCTTGACCCCAATCACCCAGAAGCCGGATACACCTGAAAACCCTACACCCTTCAACCCCCAAAACCTCCTAGAACCCCTTACGTCAATGTAGGGGCCTTAATGATTAGGATAGGGTTTTGGTGGTATGTTATGCTATATTTATACTAAGGAACCCGGCAGAATAGTGTAGGTAGTTGTTAAGGCCCCTATGTTGCCAATGTAAAGTTTCAAATCCCTGCACCCCTCCCGAAGTGCCCCTAAGACCTCAGAGCCCGAGAGTTTAGGATTTTGGGGTTTGAGGCTTAGAGGGATTTCGGGTTTAGGTGGTGTAGGTGTTTAAGGGTTTCGGGGTTTTAGAAGTGCGGTTCAAATACTGACCTTTAGTGCTTTGCTTGACGGTTTGGGGTTAGGGTTTAGGTTTCCTAAACCTCGGCCCCGAGCCAAAAATCCGAAGTCCTTGATGTTCAATCCTGGACCCTGCGCCCTAAGCCTGACATGTCATCCTAACCCTGAGCCCGACAACCATAAACCTAAACCCTGAACCCTAAACCCTACAACCCTGCACCTAAGTCCTAAACCCCTGAGTCCTGAACCTTGAGCCGGTATACCCTGAATCCAAACCCCTGAACCCTAAGCCCCCCACTACGTAGCCCTCAACGTAACCCTTGTAGTAAGCCTTTTAGAAGCCCCGTAACCGTAAAAGCTCTAAAAAAACTCTGACGTCCCGCCCCCTGTGAGGCTACTGGGTCCCTGGATGCCGACGAGACGAAGAAGTTGGAGTGCCCTGGGCTGCTTTTCTCAGGGCCCTCTGGATTTACATGTTTTTTTTTTGAGCGCTCTGGAAGGGGTTTTATATGGGTTTGGCAGGGACTTGCTTCGAAGGTTTTGTTCGGTGCTGCGTTTGCCTTTTTTTTCGGTTTCTGCAACAGTTCCTCGCGGTTGAAGGCTTCGGGCTGAGGGCTGGAGAGCAGCTCATAGGCTCATACGCGAAGTAATGAAACCTACGAACTTAGGGATACTACCAATATAGGGGCCTTAATGATTACCTGCGCTATTTTTCGGGCTCCTTATTGCAATTATAGTATAATATACCCCTAAACCCTAAACCCTAAACCCCAAGATCCTATTCTAATTATTAAGGCCCCTACATTACCTCAGCAGTATATGTTGGGAGGTATCGGGGTTGAGGCTCCAGGGTTGGGGTTGCATTGAGGGTGTTGGGGTGTGGGGTTTTGGGTTTAGGGTTTAGGGTTTAGGGTTAAGGCACAACGCAGGGGGGTCTTGCGCGTTCGGGGGCTTAAGGCTTAAGGTTTTGGGGATTCTGAGGGGCTCGTGGTGCTTTGCTTTCTGGAAGATGGGGGTGGAGGTGGCGGCACAGATGATGCAGAGCTTGGACGCCCATCAATGGGCCTTTGCATTAGGGTTCACAGCTTGCGGTGCGGTTTAGAGATTCTAAACCCTAAACCCTAAACCCTAACCAGTTAGACCGTTAGACCATTCTTCTGGGACTGGCCCCAATCCTGAGGACTGCAACATGACGGATCCTGCATCCTCTTTGCAGACCATAAGCAGGTGGCTTCCATGCTATAGACGCCTCAATATGCCTCAATAACTACCAGTATAAGTCCTTATAGGGTACCCTATCATAATTCTAACATAATCTACCCCAGACCCTTGTTCTAGCTATTAAAGCCCTATATTCGACGCTGCGAGCTCTGTGCAGAAGGCGAACGGAGGTGAAAAGCCCGAGCACTATGGACCTCCTCTACAGTCCATGGAGGTTCATGGGTAGTGATAAGTGGAGATATGGGGTTCCTTTAAGGGTTCCTTTAAAGGGTTCTATAGGGTTTAGGGTTTAGGGTTCATGGGTAGTCACAAGTGAAGTTATAAGTCCCTTAATATGGGTTATAATTATAGTTAGCCTACTTCTACCCCCACTTATAACTACCCATGAACCCCCAAGTATCCCTAATCCCGAATCGGCTGTCTCAATGGGCTCGCGGCCCAGCGACGGCGTTCCGCAAATAAGACAGGCACGGCTGGTTTTGGGTTCAAAGCATGCAGCCCTAGTCACCAATTTTCCGCTTAAGCACTCAAACCGGAACCCTACACACACACACACACAAACCCCAATCCCAAACCCCAAACTCCAAGCCCCGAGCCCTCAACCCGAAACCCTAGACCTCTGAACCCCCCGAACACTAAACCCTTAAATCACCCTCAACTCTTGAAGCACTAAGCCCTAAACTTCCCAGCCGCGGCAGGTACCTCGCCTACCTGCAAACCCTAAACCTAAGCCCTGAACTGAACCCGGCAGGTACCTCCTCTGCGAAACCTTTGAGCCCGAGAAGTTCGGCTCGAAGAGCTTCCTCACCGGCACCGTCATGGAGGTGTTTGTTACGGGTTTAGTTTTTTTTTGGTTTTGGGGAGTTTTGCAGGGTTTTGCTTTTTGTTCTTGCGTATGTTGGCGTGGTTTGGGCTGGGCGGGCTTGCTGGGGTTTGGGGCTGGCTTGCTGGGCTGCGCTGGGCTGGGCTGGCTGGGCTCCATGCAGTTTGTTTAGCGACACACTTTGAAATTGAGCTGGTCGTGAAAAGACAAAATTACTATGTATTTTGGTCTTGAGGGTTCAGGGTTTAGAGTTTAAGGTTTAGGGTTTGGGTTTGGGTCTGGGGAGGGATAGGGTAGGATTCCGTTAAGGGGGTCGAAGGGTTTTAGAGGGCTCAGGGCTTACGAGGGTCTTGGGCGCTTGGGGAATTCGGGTTGTTAGGTGTCCCGGGCTCCTAAAAAGGGGTCCTCTAAGGGGTTCAAAGGGTTCTTCTATACCATGCGTCCACAGCCTCATACCTATGTTCCAATTCTTTCTGTGCCCGTTTCGTAGCTTCAGCGCGGCGGACTTTTGCAGGCTTGCATCGAAGAGCTATATCCTGGGTAGTATTAGGGAGACCCCTTAAAGGGGACCCTTCTCAACCCTTCTTATGGCTCTCTTAAGAAGGACCGTATTGCGAGGGTCTATATCCCCAAGGGCCCCCCTAATCCTAACTCCTATAGTCCCTCCGCCTCAAACCCCGGAGCAAGTGCAGTTAACTTCAGGAAGTGCGTTGACCCTTCTGTAACTTCAAAGTAAAGCACAGGAGTAAAAAAAGATGGCTCGAAGAGGGTGGGGACCCCAAGTTCTCCGTACATTGATTCCATCCTCAAGCTCAGGGCTTAATGTAGGGGGCCTAAATAACTACCAATGCTATTCTGGGGGTTCCTTCTGATATTTACAGTATTATATACCCCATAACTAATTACCAAATGCTATTCTGGGGGTTCCTTATTATGAAAATTAGAGTATTATATGCCCCAAAAACCCTATTCTAACTATTAAGGCCCCTTCCTTAGGCCTCCTGCACCCTGAGACTGTTGCCCCTGCGAGAGCCTAAACTTGCAGGTGGGTCCCAGGCAGCAGTTCACAAGTGCCTGGTCAACCAACGCGGCAACTCGGGTGGTACTTAGAATCTTAAGGGTTTAGGGTTTGGGGTCAAGGTTCGAGCTCTTCAGTCAACTTGTGCCTTCTTCTGTCTCTCTCGGTGTCTCTAACCCTTTGTTCCCTGGCGCTTTCTCCTTTCGTTCCTGTGTCTCTTTGGCGTTCAGTCTCTTTCTCTGCGTGTCTCTTTCGCTCTGTCTCCGTGCCTGGTTGTCTTTTTCCATCTGTTTGTGTATGGGTTTCTAACTCTGTTCGTTTCTCTTTGTCTCTCGTGGTTGTTCATTGTTTCTCCATCTCCTCCTCCTCCTTCTCCTCACCGTCAATATCACCGTCACCGTCACTCTCACTGTCACTGTCACCATCACGGCCATCACCGTCACCGTCACCATCACCGTCATCACCACCGCCACCACCACCACCGCCACCGCCAGCGCCAGCACCAGCGCCACCGCCAGCGCGCCACCGCCAGCGCCACCGCCACTGCCAGCGCCACCGCCATCGCCATCACCGTCAGCGTCATCAGTGTCATCAGCGCCATCAGCGCCATCAGCGCCATCAGTGTCATCAGTGTCATCAGTGTCATCAGTGTCGTCAGTGTCATCATCATCATCATCATCATCATCATCATCATCATCATCACCAGTGTCATCATCATCATCATCATCATCATCATGAGTCATCATCATCATGATCATCATCATCATCGTCAGTACCATCATCAGTGTCATCATCATCATCATCGTCATCAGTCGCCAAAATCATCATGATCATCATCATCAGTGTCATCATCAGTGTCATCATCAGTGTCATCATCATCATCATCATCATCATCATCATCATCATCACCATCACCATCACCATCACCATCAATTTCACCATCATCGTCACCATCATCTTCACCATCATCGCCACCATCATCGTCACCATCATCGTCACCATCATCGTCACCATCATCTGCACCATCATCGCCACCATCATCGTCACCATCATCGTCATCATCATCGTCATCCTCACCATCACCATCACCCCCGTCATCCTTCTCATCCTCATCTCGGTTTTCGGCCTTCACGTTCTTGATATGTAATTGTGGGGGCATCTAAGTTTTTCTTGTGGTTTTTTATTTAAAGCGGTGGAAGTACCCCATACCACGACAGATCCGGTGATTTGTGGTGTAGTTGGACCAGTGGTTGACTGGTTGACGCAGAGACCTGGAGTGCAAACTTGATCTTCCAACCTGTCAGTTCCTAAACCCTACCTAAATCGTAAACTCAACGGCATAAAATGACTACAGCGCATTCAATCCCTTTCTTACACTGCTTACACAACTTGCGCTGCTTGTGCTGAAGATGTTTTCCGTGTTTGCTCTCTCGGTTGGTTTTGGTTCAGATGGTGTGTAAGTGGGGAAGCTGGAGGGCCTGGTATTATCTGTTAATACCCTTAGATTCTGTTACTGCAGAGCAGCATGATGTTGAGCAGGCTAAGATTCTCGGCAGTAGACCACAACCGGGCTTGGTCCCTTTGTCCATGGTGGTGCAAAACCACATAGCCTCGGTAGAGCTTCCGAGCATTCGGTTGTTGTGACTGCTGCCGAGGTGTCGATTTGCCATTCCATTGCTCTCACCAAGATCGTTCGCATTGCCGCTGTGCCTGGAGCTAGCCTGTTTTTCGAAAATATTCAGGTTTGACTTGGGGGTCAGTTTACATCCCCCAAAGGTTCCGAGCCCGATTTCGCAGACCCGGATTGCAGAGCTTGTGTGCTAAGCCTCAACCTTAAACCCTAAACCCCAGACCCTAGACCCTAACCCTAAACCCACAGCCCTAGACCCTAAACCCTGAACCCAAAGCCCTAGACCCTAAACCCTAAACCCAAAGCCCTAGACCCTAATTTCAGGCCCCCCACAAAGCACAGCTTGATCGGACGTGGGGTCGCCACAACGATCGTGATAGGGGCAAGAGGAAACCTGAAGTCATAACATGGGTAGGTTTAGAGTTTAGGGTTTAGGGTTTAGGGGTTTAGCGTTTAGGGTTTAGGGTTTATGGTTTAGGGTTTTCTAAATTAGGGTCCCTTTTGGGGTCCTTTTTTTGTAAGGGTGCCGTGCTTTTTTGGGGACCCAAAAAGGGACCCTAATTTAGAAAACTACCCATATGGGTAGTTCTCTACATGAGGTTCCCTTTCAGGGAGCTGCCTTAAAGGCATCTATGAGTTTTTTATTCTTCTATAAGGGTTCTATAAGGGCTCTACATGAGCTGAGGGTTTAAGGTTTCTCTAAAGGGTCCCTGTTGGGGGCCTTTTTGTTAGGGTGCCGTATTATCTTGGGGACTTAAACAGGGACCCTGATTCAGAGAATTGCCCATATGTTTGTACAATTGCCAGTGGCAATTTGGGAGCACTTGCGCAAGCAACATCAGTGCTGTTTAATCGTAACATTAAGATCTGGCAGGGGTGAACAGTGTATAATGTTTGGGATGCAGGTTGTATTGGAGCGATCACCCTTTTTGCTCAGCCCCCTGCAGTTTGCAGTCGCCTTGCAGTCCCCTACAGTCCTGGCAGTCTACATTCCCCCGACAAAAGACTTCCTAAAGCTTGGGAAAGCAGTGTCACTCACGCTTTCTAGCAAAGGCTCGCTGTTGAAACCTCAGTGTTACGGCAGTCCCAGCTTCCTTCTAACTTGAAGCCCCAATCCATACTCCCAACATCCCTAGACCTAATCAAAGCCCTTGCAACCCCAAGAGAACCCCTCTGCAAGCTAAGAATCGAGATAATCCCAAGGCCCAGTACAAAGCCTAAAACGCAGTCCTCTGAGCCTCATCGCCGACAATCTCGGCCGAGTCGGAAGCAGTTCTTGCATTTTGGACCCCATGGCTCCAGATATTAGGGAGGCTGCTGGTACTTCGGCTGCTTGGAGCCGAAGTTGATTATTGGAGCGTTCGTCGGTGCAATCCAAACCCTAAGGTATGATACCCGATCCTAGAAGTGGCGATGAAAGGCAAAGAAGGCTCTATGTGTAAACCGATGGATGTTGTTGATGGCTACTAGCGTAAAGGGAAATTGAACCTCCTTCAGCAAATCAGGGGTGCTTGAGGGCGAGGTGTTCGAAACTTAAGCAAGGGCTTGGGTTCCGATTGCAACAACTGCTTGGAGGTTCATGGGTAGTTATAAGTGGAGTTACAAGTCCCCTAATATGGGTTATAAGTATAGTTACCCTACTTATAACGCCACTTATAACTACCCATGAACCTCCAAGTGTAGCCCAGGAGAAGTCTCGCCGCTATCAGGCGCCAACGGAAACTTTCGTTTGGGTTTAGGGTTTAGGGTTTAGGGTTTAGGGTTTAGGGTTTAGGGTTTAGGGTTCAGGGTTTAGGGTTTAGGGTTTAGGATTTAGAGATGCTTTGGAGATGGTTCGACACTGGGTTGAATTTGTTTGGGTCTGTTCATCATGTCCGTTGTCCTACGTTACCGGTATGGTAGCGTCATTGGTATCATTGTCAGCACCATCAGTGCTCATCAACGGCCACGAACATAGGTTTGCCCGTTCAGCATGTTGTCCAAGAGCACCAGCTCACACATCTATGTCTATATCTATACCTTCGTCTGTATCTATATCGATATCTTTATCTACATTTATATCTATATCTGTATTTGTATCTTCATCTCTTTCTGTATCTGTAGCTACATCGGTGTCTATATCGATATCTAAATCTATACCTGTACTTATATCTATAGCCTGTCTATACCCACTTCAACATCTACACGTGCATCTGCATTTTCAGCTATATTTAGCGACCCTTGCAAGTACCCAGAAACCCGGTAGGTCCTAAAACCTAAAGCCCTGAACCCCTCAACCCTAAACCCGGTAGGTCCTGAAGCCTAAAGCCCTGAACCCCTTAAATCCCTGAACCTGTGACCCCCCTTCCCCTGAACGGATAACCCACAACCCCAACACTCTGAAACCCTTACCGCTCTGAAACCCCCAATATTGGGGCCTTAATCATTAGAGTAGGGTTTTGGGGGTTCCTTATGATAAGTATAGTATAAGATACCCCCAAACCTTATTCTAAACATTAAGGCCCCTATACTAAGCCGAAATGGCCTGAACCCAAACCCCTGTCCCTAAATCCCCAAAGCCTCGAAGCCAAAAACCCCAAATCCTCACACCCTTGTGTGCCTCAGCCCTCACCCGTACAGCCGCCTCGAGGTTCAAGAGCACAGACCCTAAAACCCTAAACTCCCAACCTTAAACCCTATAAACCCAAAGTGCCGCAAAAAATCGCATAAGCCCTATAAAGCACCCAAAAAGCCTCAAAACAAGCCCAATAAAGCTCTATAAAGCCGGCTACAAAGCCCGATTAAGCCGTCTAACTCCTAGAAAGCACTAAACCCTAAACCCTAAACCCTAAACCCTAAACCCTAAACCCTAAACCCTAAACCCTAAACCCATACACAGCCCCCAAAGCTCTAACGAGATAGAGCAGGTCCAGGCTTCGGGAGCCGCAGATCCAGCGAAATTCCTGCAGTCCCCGAGCTGATCCCTAGTTAAGGGTTTTAGGGTTTGGGGATTTTAAGGATTTTAAGGATTTTAAGGATTTTTCGGGATTTTAGGGAATTTAGGGATTTTAGGGATTTTAGGGATTTCAGGGATTTTAGGGATTTCAGGGTTTAGGGTTTTAGGATTCCTAGCTAAGGGTTTTAGGGTTAGGGATCTTAGGGTTTGGGGTTTTAGGGTTTCGAGTCTAGCCGTTTAGGGCTTAGGGTCACGGGTTTAGGGTTTTGACGGCAAGCGTTTTTGGAACTCATGTTCTCTTGGGTTACAAAGTTAGGAGTGAAGCTGTTTTTCCCAAAAAGAGATTCGGGGGTTAGGAGTGGGGGGGAGGTTAGGGCTGCTTTGCTGCTCAGGGTTCAAGGGGTTGAGGTTTCGGTGCGTTAAACCCTAAATCCCACACCCTAAACTCAAAACTCAAAACCCTAAACCCAAAAACCCTAAGCCCTTAAACCCCTAAACCCCTAACCCCTAAACCCTAAACCCTAAACCCTAAACCTTAAACCCTAAACCCTAAACTCTAAGCCCTAAGCTTTGGGACTAGGTTTCCGGTGGGTTCAGGTGGAGCCCTCGGAAAGTTCAGAGTTGACGTCGGGTTCTTTTTTTGAAAATGGCAGAGTTCCTGGGTCCTTGTTGGCTACAAGTTTACAGGGTTTAGGGTCTAGGGTTTTCGGGTTTAGGGTTTAAGGTTTTTGGATTTAGGGTTTAGGGTTTAGGGTTATAAGAAACCCAATAAGGATTAAGCATGATCATTTCTAATATAGCCTCAACGAGGGAACCAGAACGCCAAGAAGGATCGCCGTCGGACTGCAGTGTCGGTTGATGGTTTTGGGTTTTAGGGTTCAGGATTTTTGGGTTTAAAGGTTTAGGGTCGGGTTTAGGGTTTATGGTTTTTCGGTTTATGGTTTTGGATTTCAGGTTTCGGGTTTAGGAGTTCGGGTTCATGATCTTTGGGTTGAGGGTTTACGGTTTGGGTTTTTTGGATTTTGGGTTTAGGGTTAGGGTTTAAAGTTTAGGGTGAAGGAGCCATGGACCAGAGTCTCTCATACACCGAAAGTGCAAAGAGACCTTCTCGAAGCCACCACGAGTCTGACTTAGGCACGGTTAAAGATCCATTCAGATACATGCATAAGAAAGCCTCTCCTAAACAACTTTGAAGTCATGGAAGGCTACCTTCCTTTCAACCCTGAACACAAGCTTTGGAGCCAAGTGCCCTCGTTAGAAGCAGCCTTAACCCTAAACTATGAACCCCTTACCCTAAACCCTAAACCCTGAACTATGTACACTCTAAGCCATAAGCCCCAAGCCCTAATTCCCCACTCCCAAAGCCCCAGACCCTAGACCAACATCCCATATAGAGCCCTTCTAGGACCCTCATACAATCTTTGTGGGCAGTTACTTGGAGGTTCATGGGTAGTTATAAGTGGAGTTATAAGTCCCCTAATATGTGTTATAAGTACAGTTACCCTACTTATAACCTCATTTATAACTACCCATGAACCTCCAAGTACAGAACCCTTATCAAACCCTGGAAAGCCATCTATACAACCATTGTCAAGCACTTAAAAAAACCGGTTCCGTAATTGACAACTCTTCGAGAACCCTTATCAAACCCTAATAGTGACCAGCACCCCCCCCCCTCCCGCCCCCCCCAACTTGTTCCAGGCTTGTCCACGACCGCATGACGGCACCTCTGCTGAGAGATTAAGGGCCCTTACACATTGAGGGTGGAAAACGCTTAGGGTTTAGGGCTTTCGGGTTTCGGGCTTACTGTCCAGGGGCTATATACTCGGATCCCTTATTTCTACTCGCAAGGTGAAGATCTTGCGGCAGGAAACGCAGTGTGGCGGTCGACAGTCTGGGGTTCATGGTGTTGCGGATCTGGTCTCTTTGGGATGAGCCCTGGGCCAGGGGCCAAGCCGCAGATTCCGATTTTTCTAGTCTCAAACTCCTCACCCCTCATCCGAGTACAGTGGCAGCCGGTGGGACCATAGCCGCCACAGTAGCAGGCAGTGAGCAGTAAAGGTTGCAGCAGAGACACAGCAATTGCAGCAATTTCACTGACTCGCGGGGACTGATGAGCTTGAGCTGGGGAAAGGCATCATGGCTACCGCTGAGTCACTGAACGAAGGACAGCCGTTCCAGATCGTAGTGAAACTTCACCAATCGCTTGAAGGTGGAAGAGACCCCAAACCCTAAACCCTAAACCCTGATGTGAGTGATGAAGCGTGACAATGTGCTAGGGAAAGTGGCTGGCAAGTGGTGGGGCGAAGAGGGAGAGCGCTGAGTACATGAAGGGTGGCATCTGAGAGAGTCGGGACGTGCTTTTGCCGGTACGTGCAACAACTGCACATACAGCTCTCCTCGAATGAGGATTCCTGATGTCGCAGGCGGAAAAGGGCCCTTAAAAAGAAAAACCCTGAACCCTAAACGAGGAGACCTTGCATTTACATGGCATTCCACAGCCTGAATCCCTACCTGAATTCGAAACCCTGACCCTCAAACTCAAACTCTTACAGCCTGCCTTCAGGAAGCCCCATATCGCAGCCCTTTCAGACACCCTGAAAAAATGAGCCCCCTAAAATCCCCCAAGTGGTCCGAAGCCCCCTAAACCCTAAACCCTAAACCTAAACCCTAAACCCTAAACCCTAAACCCTAAACCCTAGTGAGTTCAGAAGCTGAGGAGTGCGAGTATCCGAAGGGCATCAGTACCTTCGAGGCGGCCTTCTTAGGGCTTAGGGGTTTGGGGCTTAGGGGGTTTAGGGCTTAGGGTTTTAGGGGTTAAGGGTTTAGGGTTTAGGGCTTAGGGGGTTTAGGGTTTAGGGTTTAGGGCTTAGGGTTTAAGGTTCAGGGTGTAGGGTTTGAGTAGGGTTTCGGGTTTAGGGTTGCTAGTGGGGTCGGAGTTCTTAGGGTCGAGAGGGGTATGAGGACTCTGTAGGGTTTGATTGAGTGTCTACAGGGTTTCTTAAAGGGGATTTAATAATTAGTAATAGTGTGCCCTTATAGTCCTCTGATCATTCAAAAAATACCAGTTCTAAACCTTCGAGGCCACCCACAAACCCTGAATCCTTGTAACGCCCCAAACCCTAAACCCTGCACCCTAAACCTGTCTGTAAAAGCTTCTAAAATCCCGTTAACCCGAAAAGCATATGGTAAACGCTTTGCCGAACACTGACAAAACTTTACTGTAAACCCTAAACCCCGCAAGCCCTAATCCCTAAACCTCACACTAGCCCTTACTCGAAGAGCTTGTATGTAGCTTGTGTACGAAGCCTTCCTCAGACTCCTTCTCAGCAAGGGTTGAACCGCAAGGAGCCCCGCCTCCTAGTAGCATGTTACCTCAAGCACTGAACCCAAATCCCTAAAGCCTCACCTTAAACCCCATAGTACCCTTATCGTAGCGTTCTTGTAGCCCTTGCAGTAACCCCTCTTTTGACCCCAAGCTCTATTCCCAAAGCCTTACAAAGCTTACAGTATGCCCTTTTCCAGGAGCATCACAGTAACCTTCATCGTAACCCTAAGCCCTAAGACCTACGAAGCTTATGCCTTCCCAGGAGCATCGCAGTAACTCTTATTAGTGCCCCTAAGACCCCTAGACCCTAAACCCTAGACCCTAAACCCTAAACCCTAAACCCTAAACCCTAAACCCTAAACCCCTAAACCCTAAACCCTAAGCCCAAAAAAGACTTGAAAGCTTGTTCCAGGAGCATCAGGAGCCTGAGAAGTGGAGCACCGTCCCGGTCATGGCCAAGGGCGCGGCGGCGCTCGAGGCCCAATGCTGGGCGGGTTTAGGGTTTAGGGTTTAGGGCTTAGGGTTTAGGGTTTAGGGTTTAAGGGTTTAGGGCTTAGGGTTTAGGGTTTAGGGTTTCTTGTAGAAGTTTAGGGTTCAGGGCTTGGGGCATAGGAGGTTTCAACAGATTTTTTGGGGGTGGTTATAAAGGCTTTAACTGAGGTTTTACAAGGACCAGGTAGATAGTCTCTTCCTTCGAGCTTGCGTGGCTGAAGCTGTCGAACTACAACTGCGTACGACAGGAGGAGTACGATGACGACGACGACTATGAGGATTACTTGTTGCTTTCATGTTAATGAAAGTGAATCAGCTGATGACGATGATGATGGTGATGCTGCTGATGATGATGGTGGGGTATGTGTGGGTTTGCGTGCGCGCACGTGTGCATGTGTGTGCGTGCGTGTGTGTGTGTGTGTGTGTGTGTGTGTGTGCGTGTGTGTGTGTGTGTGTGTGTGTGCGTGCGTGCGTGTGTGTACGTGCATGATATCAGTGGTGTTATTCCGAGGATTTCCACTCGCGCAAAGCTGCCAGTAAGGCCAGCGTCGGTGTTTTTGTTTCTTGTGCGGCGCTGATCGCCTACACCACCATGAAGATGACGATTCGTATCGCCACCCTCAACTCAATACCCCCAGACGCCCAAAACCCATCTACCCCAAACCCAAAACCCCTAAACCCTAAACCCTAAACCCTAAACCCTACACCCTGTTTTCCAGCCTTGATGCCTCTCGAAGATCTTCAGGAGTTGAGCAAAGAGAAGGGCCTGGGCTACGACGAGCAGGCGCCTTTGGAGGGGATGGGGTTTAGGGTTTAGGGTTTAGGGTTTAGGGCCTTTGGAGGGGATGTAGCAACCACCGGATCGGTTCCGCCTCGGCTTGGGCTGCGGAGGATTAAGCTTCGAGAGTTTTGGGTTTTTGGGGATCTTTAGGGGTTTAGGGACGTTGGGTCACTACTGTCATTGCCGTTCAGGGGGTTTCGTTGGAGTCTTTTGCAATCTTCTGCAGTTCAGGGTTCAGGGCTTGGAGTTTCAGCTTGGTTTGTAGGGGTTTAGGGGTTTAGGGTTTTAGGGTTTAGGGGTTTAGGGTTTAGGGTTTAGGGTCTAGGGTCTAGGGTCTAGGGTTTAGGGTGTTTCCCTCAGCGTCAGGGTTCAAGATCAGAGTTCCACTGTGCCTTTTTGAGCGGAGCTGGGACTCTGGGCATGCAGGGCTTAACACAGGGGCCTAAAATGGTTTAGGGTTTAGGGGTTAGCGTTTAGCGTTTAGTCTAAGCCCATTATAGGTGG